ATCTTTAACAATATTTCAAATTAAATATTCCTCAGAGCTGTGGATTAGTGGATAATGCACATGTTTGATACTCACATTTTCTCAGTTTTAAAATCTAGTGAGCTGCCTAACAAAACAGCATACTGTATACTGCTTTCGCCGAATGTTTCTGACATAATCCATGCACTCCCAACAACAGGACAAATGGAAGAGTAAAGGAACTCTAACTTTGACATGTCCTATTAAAACTTTTTCTCTCTGTACAGCTTTCAGAAGGATCCCAGTGTCAGGAATAAGCGGATAGTGGATTTTTAATACACGGCATCTTGGATCACGTCAAAAGATTTTAAGTTTGTTCAGAGCATTTGACTGCAGATTGTTTTTGTAAACAAGGCACAGTGTAATGGACAGTTCGCAAATAAACTTCTGTTGAAAGAAGCAGCAGCCAACCGTATTAGATCTGACAGCCGCTGCATCGCAAACTATAACTAAACAATTTCATAAAGCTTTGTCCGTAAATGGGTGTTGATGATTTTAGCCAATCATTTACCGGTAAGCCTTAAAGAAGCTGCCTCCTCCTTATAAGGGATCATTTCAGCCAAAAAGTAAATATTTTGTGTGTGTGGAAAAAAATCTTTATTAACAATATACTGTAAGTGAACCTCAAGGAACATATTAAAGTATATAAAGTAATGTCATGATCCCTTTAAATTTTAGTGCTCATGTGAGAGAAACAGGTTCGAATCTAGCCTGCAACACCCTTTAGACGGCTTCCTCCTCAGTGTTCACCCCTCTACTCTGACATTACTCTGGGCTCTACTCTGGTCTTTCTGTGATGTAGTATGCCAGTTTCAGAAGCTAACTGATATTTCATGGGTTAAATGTAGATATGACGGTTTCAGAAGCAGAAGGCAAAAGCACAGGCGTGTGTAACTGCTGTTTGTAACTGCCTAAGGACCCGAACAAACAGCAGAAGGCTTGAAGAGTCAGCCTGAGCAGCTGTCTTCAGACAGACACCTGCTGTACTGGTCAGAGTGAGTCCAGGTGCACTAGCTCACATTCATATGCTGCACAAACTCTGAGTGAAGCATGGAGATCAACCGTATGGTAAACACAATAGAGTAAATGGCTGAGTGGCCTTCGGCTCTGCTTTCAACAGCTGCCAAATAAAAGAGAAAGAAAAAAAATAGGCAAGAGAGACAGAAAGGGCTGCACCAGGCCTCTCAAACTTCATTCGTGCAAATACAAGCTGCTGTTTTCCTGAAGCCAGCACATTTATGATTTTAAGACTTCACTATGACATCACTAGTGACGTTTAAAAAGAGTAGACTCGCCCTCATGACATTCGAAATCGGTGTGACTTTCCATTGGGGAACACAAAAGAAGAAGTGCAGCAGGTACTCTTTTCCACAGAACAAAAGTGGAAGAGAGTGGACAATGTATTCCATATGACTTGTGCATGATACTCCAAGTCTTCTGAAGTCATACAAAAGCTTTCTGTGAGGAACAGACTGACATTTAAGTCGTTATTTGCTTAAAATCTTCCTCTCTGCCTAAGCTTATTCCTCTGCATTCAAATAAGGCACGTCTAAAATGGCAAACACTATTACTTCTTGTATATTAGTGATTTTATATGGCTTCAGACCTGAAATATGATGAACAAAAGATGTATAGACTAGTTTTATGGCACCTTTTTAAAGCTTGACAAATTGGTCCCTATATAATTCTATGGAAAAGAGCAGAAGGTTTGTGAAAATTCATATATGTGAGATTTTGCAGAGCAAAAGTTGGCATGAAATGAAAATTCTTGATCTTCTGGTGAGATAACAGACTTCTGTCTGGTGATGTATAATGGATTTCTCTTATCATTTAAGTTGTAGCTAGTCACATTTACCATTGTTAAGTGAATTTTCACAGGCAAAATCAAGTCATTTCAATAGGAATCCACACAATCGGGAATTTTCTGTGAGGGCAAAAACATTTTGCAACAAGTTCAAGCTGGTCATGCAAATTTGCCACGTTAACCAACAGAAATTTGCTTGATTTGAAAGTGACTGTGCTCCTTGCATTGCTACACTATTGACAAAAAAACTATGTGACTGCACCTTTACTACAAAAACATTAAGAGAATGGTCTTTTTTTAAGCTATAGAAAGTGCATTCATTAGACATGATCTTTAAAACAGAAATATTTCTGTGTTATACCACCCTACGGCTAACCCATTTGCATTTGACTGTGTTGACTAACATGTTCCTCAGAATCATGCATGTAATTACAGCAGATATCAGTCTGCATAAATAAACAACATCTCCTGGGGTTATTGAGGGTATTTAAAGTTGGAACTAGTATTGCTTTCATAGGTCAGTGCGCCTGGGAGTCTGAAGAACTGGACGCCCACACAGAAAAAAGTCCTTGGTGAGACATTTGAGAGCCTGTTTAAAAGTGTTTTAAAGAGCAGTTCTGCTTCCCCACAAGCATTCCCAGGATTCTTTGGCTTGTGTCACTCTCTAATTGACAAAAACAGGACGGCCACAAGAAGGTATAGCCTACACTGCACTACTCCAAAAACTAGACCAGCATATCACTGCAGCACATTCCAAATTCAGTTTACAATGTGCATATTGAAGTATACAGGTAGGAAAAGCTCAAAGAGATTGTGGTATCAAACACGGTAGAAAATAGGCTAGGTTTCGGAGAGCACAAACAAAAGATCAAACGATGCACTTTAAGCACCCACGCAGTCTCAAATTAAACCAGAACTGATGTAGAAAATAACCCTCACTAAATGTTGAAACTTGACAACTACACAGGGTCTTCCTACTACCTACACGTCAACGCTCTACTGCACAAACAAAAATATTATGGCTTTAAAACCATCATTTACCAGCATAAAGCCCTCTGCCCCAGTCTACACAGCTAATGCTTACCCAGCCTCCGTTTTCCACCAGCCAGTCCTGTTTTTCCCCTCCAAGGTAGTCAGCGATGGTCTCGGCCAGTCTCCGGGAGCACTTGGAATTCTCTCCTCTGGACAAGAGCTCACTAGCCAGCACTCCAGTGAAAGTAAAGATGGAGACCACCCTCCCCCAGTTCAGTTTCCCATCTCCCACCAGTTCCCTCATGACGCTCTGCAGACACTTGCTGGGATCTGATCCGCAGGTGTCCAGGAACTCCTGGGAGAGGGATCGGAATTTGGTTCTGTGCTGCTGCTCCATCTCTTTGGCCAGGTATCTCATGGCCTCTGCTGACTCGCTGGGAGGAGTCTGTTGGATCCCGCTGCAGAAGCTGATGTAATCTTCTGCCAGTAACAAAGTCTGTTCCCTCAACCAACAGGACATTTTCTAAAAACAAAACAAAAACAAAGGCAGGGTCATAATACATTAGACAGTTTTTTTTTTTTAAATATTAGAAATTGTGTTTATTACATGTCCACCACTTGGACATGAACATCAAACATGTTGAATTTATGGATGGCAATGTCCTGACCTATAATTCCACCCACAATCAACCTTTTATTTAATTCTTGTTTAAAGGGGTCATATGATGCGATTTCAATTTTTCCTTTCTCTTTGGAGTGTTACAAGCTCTTGGTGCATAAAGAAGATCTGTAAAGTTGCAAAGACTAAAGTCTCAAATCCAAAGAGATATTCTTTATAAAAGTTAAGAGTCAGCCACGCCTACCTAAAACGGCTCGTTCTAACACGCCTAACATACCTATCATCACTATGTGGGAAGATTTGCATAACGCCGCCCAAATGTTCACACAAAGGAGGAAGGCGTAAATTTTATTCTCGCTGTAATATTGTTGTTGCCGCCGCCGCCATGTCCTGAAGAGCTGTGTGCTTCGTTGTGAAAGCGAAACTACTTTGTTTGGCCTTCCAAAAGAGGACGATATCGCTTCGTGCTGATCCGTGCTGGTCGCTGAGGAAATACTTCAACTTCGCGCTGTCGATCGCCGGATCGGCTTTCACCGTGGACGAAGCGGAGTCCAGCCTGGGGTCGTCACATGTGGTTGCCGCAGGCATCACAGTATGGTAAGGGACGTAACATTTCCGTCACAAGCTTGAGGAATTCGGCCAATCACAACGCACTGGATAGCTGGCCAATCAGAGCACACCTCGCTTTTCAGCCCGATGAGCTTTGTAAAAATCGACGCGTTTCAGAAAGGCAGGGCATAGAGGAGAACCAGTAATGTACAGTATGTGGAAAATAACGTGTTTTTTGAACCGTAAACCACATAAACATTTCATTACACCAAATACACAAAATAATGTTATTTTTAGCATTATCATTCAGGGTAACCAGTTTTCATAATGTTTCCATTTTGTATCATTTCTTGTTGTGACGTTAGTTATGGCTAAAACCTATTTACCACAGTTTTATTAATAATTCATTTCAGTTCAGTTGTATGTCATTACAGGTTAATTCAAGCAAGCGCTTGCGTTCATGCGTCTATGCAGCGTTAACAGAACGCAGGTCAGTTCATAAACGGCTAAATGATTCATAATAACGGCTGTTACAGTCAGCGGCTGTTTGTTTGGGTTCGGGCCTTATATGAAAAAAAATTCACATTCTGATTCAACAACGTCCACCGTAAACCTGCTTAGTATTAACCCAGAATCCATATGAATGAGCTGAATAAGATGAAAACACAGCATAGCGAAATGAAAGGCAGCGCACACTGAACACTGAAACACAAAGCCGGCTACGCCATTTCGCACGAGAACACAAAGAAGCGAGCCAACAGAACGGGTTTTAAATATACGTTTTTCTAAATACGTTTCAATTAAGTCTGATTCTGAAAGGCATTGCATAATGTAATTGAGGAGATCAAACAGTTCAGTTCAAACCAAGATGATCACCACAGCGTATGATAATTCACAAAAGAGGAACAAAGAAGTTTCTATTCTTTACACCTTATGAAGTTTAGACAGAAAAGACCACGGGGAAACTATAACCTATGTTGCGTAATTCCCCTACTGCTCTCAAGGGACAGATATCACAGGATGGTGTAAAACACCTATAACCGCTGCCAGTCCCTACCATCTATAGTCCCTGATGCCAGTAAAGAGCAAAACCATGCTATACAGTATATTACGTAAGTCACTTTCCCCAGAGAACCTGAAGCGGACACTCACCCGCAAAGTGCTGTCCCAAGATCCTGAGCAGAACGCGGTCCCATCAGGGGACACTCTGACGGAGCTGACCCGATTTTCGTGGCCAAAGAGAATTGCCACTCTGGTACCTTTCAGGACATCCCAGACGTTAATGGTGTAGTCATTATATCCTGCAAACAGCAATCGGCCTGTGAAAGAAAAAACAGTATAGGAAACAAGGGAAAAATTTTGTTGTTTAGTATAAGACGAGTCACATTTACTTTATACAATACAGATTGTCAAAGCAGCTTCACATGAATAAACAGGAATATAACAGAAATGTTGCCAAATTCAGACCAATTTCGGCTCTAAGGCAGCTCTACAGAAGATAATACTGTCTCAATTAGTTTAATGTTGATTAAATTTAGCTCAATAACAATGTTGTAAAATTTATCAGCTATGAAGCAAACTCAGTTCAGTTATAAAGCAGCTCTGTAGTTAGTAGAGCTGATCAAGTCAGATCAAAATTCATTTAGTTCAGTTCACTAACAGTGCAAAGTTCATCAATTATGAAATGAGTTAAAGTCAGCTCTACAGAAGGCAATTATTTAGCTCAAGACAGTTCGATGTTGATTTATTTCAGTTCAATAACTTTCAATGTCTCAACGTTCAGAGTTCAATAACAGTGAAAAGTTCGTCAATTAAACAAATTTGATTCAGCTATAGGAAAAAAATAGTGCTGTTATCAAGCTCAATTCAGTTCAAGGTTTGCTCTCCCTCAAGTGTCAGTAGAGTGGAAATATCTTTTTTGTCTTATAATTGTCTTTTGTGTATTTAATTACATATATACTGAAATATTGTTCAGTATAAATCCACAGACATTTTAAATTTTCTTTTAATCACTCCTTTTTTGTCATTTGAAAGCTAGATTGAAGATTTAGGTTCTTAAGGCTTAGGTTTTTGTGGTACTTTTATGGACTTTGTTTAATATTTTTATAGCTTGCCACTGTCAATCCCCTTTTATTGCATGGAAAAAAGATTTTGCTAAACTTCTCCTTTTGGGTTCCACAAAAGTCATACAGGCTTGGAACAACATGAGGGTGAGTAAATGATCACATAACTGTCATATTCAAGCCTTCTATTATAACTTCTGCATGTTACATGTTTTTGAAGACTACAGTACATCTTTATACTCTTCTTGAGTAATATAACGGTCACAAGTCTACATTCCCTAATGAGACACATGTTAGACACATGCTATTCTAGCAAGTGTTGGTGTCACAGCTGAGGTAATTGCCTGTTCTCTCATTTGACTCTGTTGAGTAACATTCCTTGGAAACCCTGGGTTTCATTAGAGCAGATATTAACCATGTGTCCTGTGTACTAAAATAAGGACTTAAGCACCCTATATAGTCAATGCACTTATACAGTGCCTTGCTAATGTATTCATGCCCCTTAATTTTTTTCACGTTTTGTTATGTTGGTGCCTTATCTTTAACTGCTTTAAATGACTTTTTTCCCACATCAGTATACAGACCATACACTATAATAGTAAAGCAAAAAACAGCTTAAAAAAAAAAAAAACTTAAATGATCCCATTGCATAAGTTGAAATTTGGCTCAGGAGCATTTGTATTGCTTGTAGATGTTATTACACTCGAGTGAAGTTAACCTGTGGCAAATTCAATTGAATGGGTATGGTTTGGAAAGGCATACACGTCTTAATAAAAGGTCTAACAGCTGATAATGCATATCAGAGCAAATACTAAGCCCTGAGGTCAAAAGAACTGCCTGTAGAGCTCAGAAACAGGTTTGCATCAAGCCACACATTTGGAGAAGAGTTCAGAAAAAAAATCTGCTTCATTGAAGGTTCACAGAAGCATGTAGTGTCTGTTACCCTTAATGGAAGAAGTTTGAAACAACCAGGACTCTTCCTAGAGCTGGCCTCCTGGTCAAACTGAGCAACTGATGGAGAAGGGCTTTGGTTAGTGTGGTGACCAAAAACCTGATGGTCACCCTAGTTGAGCTAGTCTCCGCATAATCATATGTGGAGATAGGAGAAACCTACAGAAGGACAACCATCACTGCAACACTCCACCGATCTGGGCTTTATGGTGTTGTGGCAAGAATCAATCCTTTCTTCAGTGAAGACACATGAAAACACACTTGGAATTTGCACAAAAAAAAAAGCACGTCAAAGGAATATCAGACTGCAAGAAACAAGATTCTCTGGTCTGATGAACCTCAATTCCAAACATCATGTTTGAAAGAAACCAGGCACTGCTCATCACATGTAGAGTACCATCCCAAAAGTAAAGCAGTCTCATGCTGTGGGGCTGTTTTTCAGCGTTAGGGACTGAGGGACTCATCAGAATAGAAGACAAGCTCAATGCACCAAAATATTGAGATTAGCCTTAATGAAAACCTAGTCCAGAGCATTCAGAACCTCAGACTGGGCAGAAGGTTCACCTTCCAACAGGACATTGAACCTAAGCACACAGCAAGAGTTGATCATAGATTCTGATGAGTCCCTCAGAATGTCCTTGAGTGGCCCAGCCACAGCCTGGGATTGAACCCAATCAAATATTTCTGGAGAAACCTGAAAATGTGCATCTGCCCCCATCCAACCTGACAGAGCTTGAGAGGTGAAGAGGTGAGGAGAAGAATGGCAGATAATTGCCAAATGCTGATGAGCAAAGCTTGTCGCATCAAACAAAAAAGACTTGAGACTGTAAAGGTGCTTCAGCTAAATGTTTAGTTAAGGGTATGAATACTTATGCAATGTATTATTTCAGGTTTTTTTTTTTAAATAAATGTACGAAGTTGTGACATTTCTGTTTTTGTTTTGTCAATATGGTGTATGGAGTGTAGATTGATGTGGGAAACAAAGTCATTTAAAGCAGTTTAACATAAGGCAGCAACATAAAACGTGAAAACAATGAAGGGTTATGAATACTTTCGTAAGGCACTGTAAAAAGCCCTAGTAAAAACCTAGAGCAGTGTATGAGAGTCAGTGTATCACATGTACGTGAGATGTCAGAGCAACATGATGATCAATGCTCAGTAGAAGAAATAATTTACCAAACAATGACAATTCTGTCATCAATTACTCACCCTCATGCTGTTTCAAACCAATGTGACTTTATTCTCTTAAAACATAAAGAGAAATCTAGCTCTTTGGAATGCAATGAAAATAAAATGGATTTCGAACTTCAAAAAGCACATAAACTAATCAGTTAGGCTTCATGACACATACATTCGATGTCTTCTAGAGCAAGAGTATTGCTTTCGTGTAAGAATTAGATCAAAATTAAAACACAGTCCTCAAATGTCATTCTTATACATTGAGATATAACACAAAAAACATGTCACATCATGTTTGACATTAATGACGATACAGTCAAAAAAGATGGATGTTTGATATCAAATCTGGCATGACAGGTTTTTGAAGGGATAGTTTACCATGTATAACTTCCTGTAGGACTTTCTTTCTTCTGTGGAACAGATATTTTGAAGAATGTTTCAGCTGTTTTTGCCTATACAAGGAAAAGTCAGTGGGGTCCATAACAACAAGAGACCCCATTAACTTTCATTGAATTTTCATATTATTTTGTGTTCCACAGAAAGAAAGAAAGGAATACAGGCTTGGAACAACATGGGGTTGAGTAAATTATGACAACATTTAGATTTTTGGGTCAACTATCCTTATAATATGTCATATTTGAAGGTACAATCACTCAGTTGAGACTTGAGAGTTGATGTAAATTGATGTTGATGTTGAGCAGCTGATGTAAAGATTTCCAGTGAATAATGAGTACATTTGGTAACACTCTATTTTGATGGTTCCTTTATACACTCTGTTGACCATAAGTAACTTTGCAAGTACACGTCAGCTTATTCTAGTAACCCTAAGAGTCTAATACCCTACTAATACTATAATGCGAGTTAGTTGACATGTAGATTTAAAGGTACTTACAGTCAACAGAATGTCTAAAGGGGACCATCAAAATAAGTTGTAAGCTTAAATGTTGGTCTGTTGTCAAACAAAGATGTCATACAGGCTTGAAATATAGCAGACATATGGAGCATATGGAGCAAATGTATGATACTTTTGTGGCTGGTGCTTTTATGGTACAGTCCTCATTCAGTTTCAAAATATGAAAAAGAACACCTGGGGCATTCTCCTTTTGTGTTCAGTGAAAAAACAAAGATAATTGGAAATGCATGAAGGTGAATGAATGATTTTGGATAAATTATTACATTTATTCATATACATTTTTATTTTTATTTTTAGGTGAACACTCTGCTTTAAGGGCCTGTGTCCAATTTCTTACCACTGAGGGAAAAGTCCACACTAGAGGCTCCAAATATGATACTCTCTTTGGAGTAGATGGCAACCTCGCGGTCAGCTCGCAGGTCATACAGGCGACACTGAAACAACACAAAAGTACACAGTGAGATCAGTGTGAACCTACAGAGTCTCATTCATCGAGTCTCAGTGATCATTGGCTGAGTAACAGGTGACATGATCTGATTTGAAAACAAGGACACATTGCATGGACCTTGACCTGGAATAATGAGTACATTTGGTAACACCAAAAATGAAGATTAGCCTGCTAGACAGCAGACTTACTAACTCCTAAATACACGAACATCTATTCTAATACACTCTTGCACATAATCAGTCAACTGAGTATCTCTTAACCTAATTTGATCAACATTATTAAAATATCATCAAATCATTAAAAGACCATTGTGTATAATTAACCAATTATCAAGCCATTAATTTCAGTCTGGTTAAAGAGGGTGTGTGTGTAGGTGTGTTTGGAGGAGGAGTATTAATCAGTGGACACAGGGTAACAGGTTTTACACTATTGATTGTGAATCTTTCTGTCAATCCTTTGTAATCTTTGAGAAGCCAATTGATTGTTTTGAAGTGATATGGGGTAACTGGTGTGTTGTAATGTAGAAAAACTTACCGTAGCATCATCAGATCCAGTTGCAAAAGCATCTCCGCTAGGGTAATACCTGCATTCATATAGAAGATTAAAATTTCCATAGACAATTAAAGGGATAGTTCACCTAAAAATAAAAATGTTGTCATTAATTACTCACCCTCATGTCATTACAAACCCATAAGACCTTTGTTCATCTTCTGAACACAAATTAAGATATTTTTGCTGAAATTCGAAAGCTTTCTGACTCTGAATCACTGATGTAATATGAACTTTTTTAATGATATCCTTACTACCTTTCTGGGCCTTGAATGTATCAGTTGCGTCGCTGACTATGCAGGGTCAGAAAGCTCTCAGATTTCATTAAAAAATATCTTAATTTGTGTTCTGAAGATGAACGAAGGTCTTATGGGTTTGGAATAGTTTTAAATTTTTTAGTTAACTATCCCTTTAAAACACATAGACAACACTATGACTATGTTCACAGATTCCCAATTCTAACTCTTTCCTGAATGTTTTTGGTTTGTGAGCTTTTATCATTTTATCACTGAAGTATATGCTGTGCATACATGGCAAAAATGATGTAGCACCCTATTCTAATAAACAGGTTTGGCTATTTTAGCTTTGAACATTGGTAAAAAGTACGTCAAATCAAGCATACAGGCATACAATCTCCTAATATAAGCAATTTAGGTATAATTGGGATATTTCTTGTTTTGTCATGACACTGACTGTACCCCTATGTACAAAGAAAGGCCCATTTAGAAATGCTTCACTGAATCTGATGTGGAAGAACAGGTTTGCATAAAACCCAAACATGAACCCAAATGAACATGTGAATTGAAATGGCAACTGCAAGTCAAAACTCATATTCCAACATCAGTGCCTGACCTTGCTGATGCTCTGTGTGAAAGTGAATCCCCACAGGCATGATGGGAAATGATTCCCCGATGAGTGGAAGCTGTTATAGCAGCAGAGGCCAACTAGTGCCTATGGTTTTAAATTTAAACATTTAATACACATATGGGTGCATTTCTTGGATGACCACATACTGTGTCTAAAGTAGAGAAATGCACCAAACACTGAACACAATACAAATCTGAATAGTTAAATAATAACTTTCCCTCACAGTCTTACACTTCAGATAATACATGTGTGTTTGTTGCTTATATGCAGTACTCCAACAGTCTTTGCACTCACATTATTATTAATTATTATTATTATTGTTGTTGTTTTTGTTGAAAAAAAATGTTTGCTGTTGTTTTTTGTTCAATGAACAGCATTTATTGGAAAAATATATCTTTTGTAACATTTTCTTTACTGTCACTTTTGGACAATTTCATGAATTTGATCAATTTCACTTGTTTGAATGATAATATATCACGTTTTCCACAAAAATATTAGGCAGCGCAATCATTTTCACCAGTGATAACAATAACAATTCTTTACCACTAAATCAGCATTTTAGAATGATTTCTGAAGGATAATGTGGCACTGAAGACTAAAGTAATGGCTGGTGAAAATTCAGCTTTGCCATCACAGGAATAAATTACTTTTTGCAAAATATTATTTAAAAAATCTGTTATTTTAAATTGCAATAATATTTCACAATATTACTATTTTGATCAAATAAATGTAGCGTTGGTGAGCATAACAGACTTCTTTCAAAAACTTTTTAAAAATCTTATTTATTACAAACTAGGGCTATCAAATCGATTAACTGCGATTCATTCCATCCAAAATAAAAGTATGTGTATATATATATATATATATATATATATATATATATATATATATATATATA